CTGGAATGAAGGCGTGGACTATTTTTTTCAAGGTCAGGTCTGGTCAATACGGACTTGAGCTGAACTATCCGCCTGAACTGGAAGAAGTTTTAAGCAGAACAGGGATAATGTGTTCATTAAACTTAAAGCCAGAACCATCCTGGGATTTGTAACAGTTTAAGATTCGGCTCAAGAGAGTCCAGGTTTACAGGAACAGAGATAACAGTAGAGTTGGGGCTAAACAAAATAATTTCAGTTTTCTGATCATTAAAACTTAAAAATATGAATTCATCCATACCGTGATGTCATCCAGACATTTTAACAGAGTGAGTGGAGCTGGAACCGTTGGGTTTTAATGGCAGATCAATCTGACGATCATCAGCATCACAGTGAAACCAAAGACCAGTTTCCTCAGGACACACTGGTGGCGGCTGCTGTGACTTTTAATTATTGTAACTTTTATGTTTTTAAAATACTGAACTTTATTTACAAATATTTTTCACAGAGATGCGTTAAGATCTCTTCAAGACTTAAAAAAAATGTTAACGTTTAAATCTGCTTCAGTAAACCGTCTCGGTTGTAATCATTTACTTTTAGCTACCATTTAGCTATTTTTAGCTAAACTTTAGCTTCAGTCTACTATTCTGCTCATTTCAGCGTTCAGCTGTGGTTTTACTCATTAACTTTGAACTTTTATTTAGTTTTCTGGTTCTGCTCTGCTGGTTTAGTTATAAACTCGACACCTCCACAGATAGACTTTCTTTTTTTAACCTTTCTACAAGTCTAAGCTAGCCTTTTGTAGCATTTAGTCTTTGCTACTTTTATCTTTTAGCTACCATTCAGCTACTTTTTGTTTTTAAAGTAGTCTTTTGCTACTTTTAGCTCTAAGTTATTGTTCTGCAATTTGTAGATAGTTTTTTATTTTATTTGATGCTGTGATCTTTTTGTTAAGCACTTTGGTAAGAGTTTGTTTTAAATATGATATATAAATAAATCTGGCTTGACGATTTATTTTTTACTTTTAGCTAAAATGTTGCTATATTAGCCTTTAGCTTTTGTCATTTTGCTAGTTTTCCACAGATGAGATTGGGATTGGATAAACTAGTAACTCCAGTAATCAGTCCAGATTATTTATTAACAATATAAACTAAACTGGGTGGCACGGTGGTGCAGTTGGTAGAGCTGCTGCCTCTTAGCAAGGTCGTGGGATTGAATCCCAGCCAGGGGTCTTTCTGGGTGGAGTTTGCATGTTCTCTCCGTGCATGGGTGGGTTTTCTCCAGGTACTCCAGTTTCCTCCCACAGACCAAAAACATGCATGTTAGGTTGATTGGTAACTCTAAACTGTCTCTAGGTGAGAGAGAGAGAGAGAGAGAGTGAATGGTTGTTTGTCTCGTTTGTCTCTATGTTCCTGTGATGGACTGGAGACCTGTCCAGGTGTCCCTGTGATGGACTGGAGACCTGTCCAGGTGTCCCCGTGATGGACTGGAGACCTGTCCAGGTGTCCCTGTGATGGACTGGAGATCTGTCCAGGTGTCCCTGTGATGGACTGGAGACCTGTCCAGGGTGTCCCCATCTATCGCACAGTGCCAGCTGGATAGGCACCAGTGACCCCCGTGACCTGGAAATAAAGAAGCGGGTAAAGATGATGGATGGATAATCTAATCTGTGTGACAGCTACACCAGCTGTGTTAATCTGAAATATGCAGACTGAGATATTTAGATGATCTGGTCTCTGATCAGGTCTCTGATCAGGTATCTGATCTGGTCTCTGATCAGGTCTCTGATCAGGTCTCTGATCAGGTCTCTGATCAGGTCTCTGATCTGGTCTCTGATCTGGTCTCTGATCTGGTCTCTGATCTGGTCTCTGATCAGGTCTCTGATCTGGTATTTGATCAGGTCTCTGATCTGGTCTCTAATCTGGTCTCTGATCAGGTCTCTGATCTGGTATTTGATCTGGTATTTGATCAGGTCTCTGATCTGGTCTCTGATCAGGTCTTTGATCTGGTCTCTGATCAGGTCTCTGAGCAGGTCTCTGATCAGGTCTCTGATCTGGTCTCTGATCAGGTCTCTGATCTGGTCTCTGATCAGGTCTCTGATCTGGTCTCTGATCTGGTCTCTGATCAGGTCTCTGATCTGGTCTCTGATCAGGTCTCTGATCAGGTCTCTGATCTGGTCTCTGATCTGGTCTCTGATCTGGTCTCTGATCTGGTCTCTGATCAGGTCTCTGATCTGGTCTCTGATCTGGTCTCTGATCAGGTCTCTGTGGTCTCTGATCTGGTCTCTGATCTGGTCTCTAATCTGGTCTCTGATCTGGTCTCTGATCTGGTCTCTGATCTGGTCTCTGCTGTGTCTTCTTGCCTCCTATATTTATCTGATGGTGTTTTTTCTGCCAGGCTCTCGTGGCAGACGTGGTGTTACAGCACGCTCAGTTTCTCAGAACCATCTGTGTTCTGAGGTTCTGCTAACGTGTTCTCTGTGACCGAGTGCAACAACCGGAGCTTCACGGTGTTACAGGCTGTGAACACTCATTCAGATTAAATCATCGAACTCTAAACTTCAGGCTGTCATCTGTCCATAAACGGCCACGTTTCCTCCTCCAAGCAGTTTCAGATTCATAAGGAACAACAAAATGATTGAACCAAATATCAGCAAAACTCTAAAGCAAAGAATAGCCAAGTGCTAGCTAAAGGTTGAAAATTTCAAAACATTAGCATAAAACAGCAAAACACTAACCACAAGCTAAAGTTAGTGAAATGCTAGTTAACTGCTGAAACTACAAAAATGTTAACCAAAGGCAAAACGTAGGAAAACGTTGAAGATAGCAAAACACCAGCACTGAGCGTCAAAATCTTAGCCAAACGCTGAAAGTAGCAAAACATTAGCCAAAAACAGCAAAAAGCTAACATAAAGTGGAAAAGTGCTAGCTAAAGGCTAAAACTAACAAAAAAACTAGAAAAGCAGCAGAACGTTGGTTAAAAGTAGTAAAATGCTAAAAAAAAAAAAAAAAAAACTACTCATGTTAGCTACAACAGCTGTTCCACATGAACAAACAAACGTTTATAGTCAGTTTTACAGACATCAAGTTAAATTTAAATTTGGTGTGGTAGTAGCCGAGAGTCATCCTCAACACATTCTCTGAAAGCTAAATGATCACTCAGACCTTTATTTAAAACATTGTGTGTCAGCTGACATTTATTCCTTCAAAGAATACTTAAGAAAGAATACTTTAATACTTAAAGATGCTAAACACAAGCTAAAAGCTCAAGTGAGTTAAAGCCCAACTAAATGCCAAAAATAAGATAAACACTACCCTGTACTTAAAGATTAATGAAGAAGATTGCTAGCTAAAAAAAAAAGCTAAATTGAGCTTCAGGCTAGCTCAAAGCTAAACAAAGCAAAATGCTAGCTGAAGCAAAACACTAGCTAAGCGCTTAAACAGCTAAGTTGTATGAAAAAGCAACATAATACTAGGTAAAACAGTTACGATACTACGGACAGGCTCAAATAAGTTTTCCTAAGTAAATGCTAAAAGCAAGAGAATAAACTGCTAGCTAAAAACAAAACTAGCTACTTTTAAAAACAAAGTAGGAAGGTGTGTAGATAAATAATAAATCAGCAGAATAAAAAAAATTAATATATTTTTAGTTCATAGTAGAATAAGTCTGAATAAAGCATAAAATTAAAATATTTACAGTTTAACAAGAACATATATATATATATTAAAAAAAGCACCCACAAAGCCCCGTGGCTAAGAGCTAAAGTTGCTACAAAA